AATAAAATATGAGTTTAGGGAGTTTAAAATGGTAAAAATATGAATTTGGTGAAAAATCCCCGTTAAAAACGTCAAAAACGGGCTTAACAGACGAAAGTTGTCGAAAACCGGACAATAGGAGCGAACCTGCGAGGGTTCGGTTCCTATAGCTGAGGACCGAGAGGGGGAAGAAGGGAACCAAAGGAAGGGCTCGGGCCCGAAGGGAGGAGAGAAGGCGAGGCTCGGATCCGAAGGATGGGTCTCAGGTCCGAAAGTGAGAGGGAACCGAAATGGACCGAGGGCTCGGTTCATTTCGGGTGCAAGAGGTTTCGGTTCTGACTGGCTTCGGTTCGGTTCTGAAGGGGACCTTCGGTCCTGAGCAGTTTGGTCATCAGAAGCTTCGGTCCTTAAGAAGGGTTTCAGTCCTTAAGAAGGGTTTCGGTCCTTAAGGGTTGTTTTTCAAGCTAACTTCCCGTTTTGAGTGATTTTTGGCCAAGTTAAGGGTCGGGATGACCCGGATGACTATAAAAAGTTGAGAGAGATTTTGAGAGAGATTTGGGAGAGATTTAATTTTAGCCATTATTATTGTATAATCTCGTAATGCAAGGTTCGTGAATGCCGTTATGCTTCGTTTATGATTGTTTTAAGTCCCCAAAAGGGTTCATAATCGTGTTTTGATGCATTTAACTCCCTTTTTAGGGTTTTACATTGCTAAACACATAAAATATCCGAGACACTTGAATTCTTGACATACCAATGCACATTTTTATAGAATAACTCTTAACATACAAGTACTAGTTAAGTTTGACCGGTTTGACTTGTTGACTTTGACTTTGACTTGTTGACTTTGACTTTGACTTGAATTTGACGGTTGTCACAAATTTGGCAGTGCAAGATTTAACTACCCTAGTTGGCAAACATTTATGTTCATCTTGTATTGTTTTCACCATCCAATCTTGATTTTCATTGGCCCTTAAGATCTGCACTGCCAAGGACACATTACATTTTTGTTAATTACAGTTTTACCCTTGCGATTTACTTTACTTCTAGTTGATGGCCCACCACATTCACCTGATTCAGCAGATTGACCTACAACACCTTTACATTTCACCCTCATCATGATTTCGACATTTTTTGCAAGGGAAAGGGCCCTCCTAGTTTGTGTAAACTCATGAATTTTGTAACATCTACCTTTTTAGGTTTAACCCACCCTAAATGGTTTTAGATCAACCTCCCCATGTGAGCATGAAGTTGACCTACTCAACTATTTAAGCATTCTCTTCCTTTCATCTTCATAAAATCTTGCAAAACTGATAATCATCACTACCAATAACTTCCAAACTCTTTAAGCATTCTCTTCCTTTCATCTTCACTATGTTTAGAATAAAGTTATTTTTACTAAAAAACTAATAATATGAATACTTTTTATTGAAATAAATTAGGGAAGTTGAGTAATCTAACCCATATAAATGTCTTTTTTTGATAAACTAACTAATATTATTTTTTTTATTGTAATAATGACTACTAAATCCGAAACAGTGCATTTCGGAAGTACCTCTGGGATACCAAAGTGGCATTTCAGAATGACATTTTGAAGTGTACTTTTTTGTGTATTAATCTTTTTGTTTTTAAATAGATATTTTTTGTGCATTCCAGAGAGTATGTGTTTTTTAATGAGCAATTAAAGCTTGGTCATTTCTTGTGGTGAAATTAAAGCTTGTGACTTCATTTTTGTGTTTTCATATGGTATATGAAAAATAACTTTTGTATTATAAAAAAGAAAAAGCAAAAGTAATAATTACATAAACTTAAATATTTTTTAACTAGTACTAAAATGTTCAAATGGAACCTTACTTTTTCTTCATACCATATACAATTTCCGCAATTTACTTGTGAAATGAGATGGCCTAGGTTTTGGTTGATCCCTTTATACTCAAAGATTTCCCAGTGAGCAAAATCTCTACGAACCAACATAAGAACACTCCATAATCCCCTTTACCGCTAGACTATTATGGTATGTCCACGCCATTTTACAATAGTGATTTTAAAAGTCTCAAGGGTTTACATCACTGGGTTTGGTACCCTGATAGTTGATACCCACTAAGAGTTTGTGGAGACGGGCACATATAGGTATAAACTGTAACACCAAGTTCCAGGTATAATTGCTCTTGTTTTTTTTTTGGCATTTAAGACTTAAAAATATGAGGTTTTTGGTAGCCACAACGTGCCTTCACCCGATGCAAACACGCCTTTCATTTAGGCACCACGACATGGCATGGTATTGGCCACGAAGTGGTGGTGGCCAGCATGCAAATCCCTAATTTTTTGGGCTTTAAGCCCTATTTAAGGGTTGCGATGACTAGGGTTTTTGCTCACCCTCAACCTCCATCACCTCCCTTTCGACCTAAGCAAGCCTTAGCCTCTATTTTTGAGTTCTTGATGCTTTTTGGTGATTTTTGGTGATATTGAAGGAGAAGAAGGTGTCCTTTGAGCAAAGATCCATCAAACAAGTTCCCCCACCACCTTATTGCACATATTTTGGACCATTATAAGTCCTCAAGTTCAAATCTTTATGGGTTATTCTTCTAGATCTAGGCTTTTATGAACTCTTCTCCATGTTTGGGATAGTTTGAGTGGATGGATTCCATAAACTTGGCAACTTTATGGATTCTTGAGGTCCCTTTACGGTCTAATGATCCAGATCTAAGGTTTGGTTGAGTTATGGTTCCATGCATGAGGTTTTGACCTCATTTTCATCATTTTGACCTAACTAAAGTTCAATACATGCATTGGACATGCATGTCCATCGAGAAAGGGTTTTTATTAAGCTTATGGATGTTAGGAAGCCTTCTGGAATAGATGAGTGGGTGGCTTAATGGATTAAGGGCTTAATCCATTAAGTTGTTCCAAAGCAATTCCCACTACATGGCGATATGCTTACCACGTCATGATGATTAAGTTTATTGTGACTGTTTTGTCCAGAGACTGCCACTTCGTAGCATATGCTTGGCCACGATGTGGTCGCCACCTGAGTTGACTTTGACTGTTGACCTTTGACTTTTGACCAAGTTGACTTTTGGTCAACTTGAGGTTTTGGAGCTATAGATTGAGGATTGACATCTGTTTGTTGTATAGGTGACTCGTAGTACTAGTTTTGTGTTCGTGAGAGTTGTATTGCTTATTTGCTAGTCTACGAGGTGAGTTTTCTCACTATACTTTGTGCTACAGTATGTCTGCTCGCGTGTAGGATGTTGTTATGTTGTAATGATCTGTGTATCCTTGTGTCTAAGATGTTTTTATGCTCTGTTGGGTAGATAGATTTGTTATGATTACTTGTGTTTGCTTGTTATTGTTATGTGCATATGTCGACATGTTGTGTTTGGGTTGAGGCGGTCCTGTTGTGTGTAGTAGGCCAAGATACCTGGACGATCTAGGTGTACTGTAGGCCTTGTGAGGTGGTGCAGTCAGACTGAAGGCGCGGGGAGAGTGGTCCAGGTGTACTCTAGGCCTTGGCGGTCCAGTTAGACTAAAGACTCGTGTGTGCATGCTTGTATATGTTTTGTTGTGTGAAGTATTTTGGGGAACTCACTATATTATAACTTACAATTGTGGATTTAAATGTTTCAGGTACTTCAGAGGATAAGTAGAAGGAAAATGCGTGATTACATCATCCAATAGTTTTCATGTTTGGAGAGATACTCTGACTTTATTACTCTAATTTGATATGGTTGTAAAACAAGGTTTTTAGTGACTTGTGTTTGATGGAAATACAGTTTTTATCACTTTTAAAAATAAAAAATTTCGATGCATAATAGCCTAAAATAGTAATTAAACTAATTTTGGGTTGGTCATAATACTAAATTAGCTAAAAATTGAAAATATAATTATGATTTACTTTGTATTTTAGAAGCATTCTTCGTGTTCTCGAGTAACTATTTTACACCACTAATCGTATAAATAAACAACTAAAATCGTAGGAATGAAAAGCTTACCCATAAAACCATCAAATCATCGGAATCATACGCCATATCTTCTTTGCTTCTTTACTCCAAAATGTAAAAATATTTCAGATTAAAATCCGAAATAGTTGTTTTATATTTTTTCCTTGGGAACATGTCGAAATAGGTATTATGGATCGTGTTGAATGGGTCGGGCTGGATCCATATAGTATGAAGCGGATTCTGGAGTAGCCCATTTCGAAAAAGAAATATTAAAAAAATAAACTGGTTATTTGTTTAAAAAGTCAACAAAAAGAAGATTAGATTGCTTAATTATTATGAGGACATTTGAAATATTAGATTTTTGAGTAAATTACACGATTTGTCCTTCGTAGGAGTGCTAAAATGCAACTTTAATCCATATTTTTAAAAATTAACTCGGACCATCCCTCATAGTTTACTTTGTTGCACGTTTCATCCCTAACATCATTAGCCGTTTGATTTTCCGTTTAAGTGCCCCACATACCAGGGGTATTTCAGTCTTTTAAAATGAAAAATAAATAAACTAAATAAAAAGATTAATGAAAACCTAGACCTAACCCTCTTCAATCTCTCATCTCTTCTCTAGCCTCCTACATCCGCCGACACCACCGATCCCCTCCTTCTCTTCTCTATTTCGTCTGCAGCCCACTATCGGAGCGTTCATCCACATACTTTTCGTCCAATGGCCACGGGAAACCAGAGAGACGACCATAGGAGGCATGACCACCAACGCAATCCACTTTGGCTTATGTTCCACCATCGACATCGCTTTGTAGCCACAACCGACAACATATTTGTCTACGTGGAGCCCCGATCTTCTATCTCTGTCTCTAATAGATCCTCGGTGTAGAAAAACTGATCGGATATCCCTTTTTCGAGTTTTCCGGCGAAGAAAGAGGGTGATGACTATTTTCTGGTGATGACAGGGGTGCCGGGATGGAAGAGATATGGGGTACCTGGAGTCTTTAAGGAATAATTTTTGAAGGACTATAATTCAGGGTTTCTATCGCCGTCATTCACCGGAATTTGGCTTAACACGGGATGTTGACGACCAGATTGAAGAAGAATCGCAAGAAGCATGGGGACGTGAGCTCTGGACGTGGTGGTATCAGAAATCAACGAAAGCATCCTAGAGGTCATGGTAATGCCAAGTATTGCACCACCATCGAATCCTCTTCGACAAGCAGTATTCGGGTTACTTTGGTATGGTTGGTATGCGGTATTTCCATAAGCTCAGAAACAATTTCTATCACCTTATCGTGAATGTGTACAAGATCTGGTCGATAGTGCCACAAGACGCGAAGGAGAAGGCTGAGACTGCAGGGTTCCAATCGTCGATGTTACTCAATTTGGCTACTTCAAGATTTAATTTTGTGTTTGATTTAAACCCAGATTTTTGCAGTTTTAAACCTTTGATTGATTTAAATTTGTGATTGATCTAAACCCTCGGTGTTTGAAGTAATCTATGATTCACAGTTTTTGCAGGTCTTATTCTTGATGTTTGATAATTGTATTATTTTGGGTTGATTTTTTTTTCCGTCGGAGGTGTATGTGTAGGCTGAGACTGGAGGGTTTGGGGGTGGGGAAGGGGTGAGAGGTGAGAGGTGTGAGGTGTGGGCATAGGTTCAACTATACTTTACATTAATATAAGTATCAGGGAAAAAGTAAAAAAGATAAAAATATGTCAACAAGGTAAAATCGTCATTTACTATGGGTTGATGGCAAAAAAATAAACGTTGTTAATATTAGGGACGAAAGGTGCAAATTTAAAATTAACAAGGACGGTCCGAGTTAAAAATTGAAAACAGAGACTAAACGTGTATTTTAACACTTACACCAGGGACGATTCGTGTAATTTACTCTAGATTTTTTTGGTAAAGTTCAAACTTCAAGAAAAAGAAAATCTTAAACAATGACTAATTAATTTTTAATGTACTTGAAACAAAGGCGTGGAAAAGGTAATGTGGCAAAACAACAACCCAACTTCACCTAATACCACTGTAATTCTCCGGAGACAGGAGATGTTGACTTTGATTCCTTTATATTCCCCTTTGATTGACAACCTCTTATCTTACTAATTTCAATGGCGTCTACTTCATCATCTTCTTCTTCTCTACTAAATCATACCAGCTGCCATGACGTTTTTTTAAGCTTTAGAGGTGAAGATACTCGTAATTCATTTACAGATCACCTATACGCAGCTTTAGACCGAGCAGGAGTACGCACTTTTAGGGATAATGATAATATCGACAGAGGTCAAGAACTGAAGCCGGAAATCGAGAGAGCAATCAAAGAATCCAGGGCTTCTATCGTTGTCTTGTCACAGAAGTATGCGAATTCCAGATGGTGCCTTGACGAGCTGCTGTTGATCCTTGAGCAAAGGCGGGGCTTTAATCATTTTGTTTTACCGGTTTTTTACCATGTCGATCCCTCAGATGTCAGGAACCAAAGACAAAGTTTCGCGATTAATGTAGAAGGAGTAGAAGGGTCAAAATGGACAGAGTATAATGTCAATCGGTGGAAGGCAGCCCTTGCAGAGGTTGCTGATTTGACCGGCATGGTTTTTTCGGGGTATGCTTTCTCTATTCGTGTTTATTGTTTAATCCTTTAGAAACTTTTTTGATTAATTCAACTGAGTGTTAAATATGACATGGAATCATAATTTGTGCCAAGCAGATGATCAAATTCAGGTATGCTTCTTGAAAAGATAAGTTATGGAATTTTCTTTTGCCCTTTATGGCTTTAAATTTATGCCAAGAGCAGAGCCAGATGATTAGAGGCTTACCTGTGTGTATTCTATGGCCTTTTCCATAGGAGTCTAAGGAGTTGGTTGACTTCATTTGCTTTGCTCCCTGTCTCCGGAAACAATATTTGGGATGATAATTGAACCTTCTTTATAGTGAAGATTGCAATTTTACTTGATTGGAAAAATAGCTGTTCAGTTACTTATGTATAGACATTATGCCATTCTATTCCTTACTTACTAATGGTTTACTATAAATATAGAATATAATATGCATATATTCACCATGTGTATATGATGTGAAATAGTGAGTGAGAAGTGAAACTAAAACAAAAAACTTATAACATAGCAGGTATTCTAATGTGCTCATTTTCTTTGTTCTTTTCTCGCAGGTCTGAAACAGAATTTATCGCAGAAATTGTTGATACAGTTAACCGTAAACTAGATATGAAACTAGTAAGTACTCCAGCTCATCTAATTGGAATGGACACTCGAGCTGTAGGTATCAATACCTGGTTGAAAAATGAGCAATCTGTTGCTAATGTTTTAGCAATCTGTGGCATGGGAGGCAGTGGCAAGACGACTCTGGCCCAATTCATTTATAACTCAAACAGGCAAAATTTTGAAAGCAGCAGTTACCTTGAAGAGATCGGAAAGCACTCTAAACAGTATGATGGTTTGCTTGGGCTACAGAAACAACTTCTCACAGACATTCTAGGGGGAAAGAATATTGCAAGTATATCTAGTGTATCTGCGGGGACAAGGAAGGTTGAGGAAGCCTTACAAGTGAAAAGAGCGCTTATTATTCTTGATGATATTGATGAACATGACCAATTAGACGCTTTACTTGGAACAAGGGCTTCTCGTACTCCAAGCAAGATCATAATAACAACTAGGCTTTTAGATATACATGCATGGTTCAGATCCATATCTTGGAGGTGCGAGGTGCAAAAATCCGAATTGTTGAATGATCATGAATCATTAGATCTTTTAAGTTGCCATGCATTTGGATCCAAAATTCCTATGGAAGGTTTCAAGGATCTCGCATTCCAATTAGCACAATATTGTGGTGGAAATCCACTAGCTCTTAAAGTATTGGGTTCTTCTCTATTTTCTGATGCTGAAGAGCCAAGGGAAAAAAATAGTATGATAGACGTTTGGAGAAGTACTTTGAATTCGCTGAATTCAATGAAAGGAGATCTTGATTGTAAAATTCAAGGTATACTACAAAAGAGCTTTGACTCACTACCACATGCCAGTAACAAAGAGTTGTTTCTGCACATTGTTTTTTTCTTTGTTGGTGAATATGAGGGTTATGTGGCAAAGATATTGGAGCATGAATGGCATGCGAAGGCTGGGATCAGGACCCTCATTAACAGATGCCTTCTTACCATCTCACCAAGTAAAAAAGTGATGGTGCATCAATTGCTCCAAGAGATGGCAAGAAACATAGTCCTGAAAGAGTCCAGAGATCCTGCAGCCCGCAGTAGAGTCTCACAAAATGATGAATCGTATCGTTTGTTGAGAAACGGAGAGGTATGATGCTTCTTATATGTGTATCTTTAAACTTGCTTTCTTACCCTTTCACATGAACCTCCTATGTAACTTTCCTTGTCACATTTCATGTCTTTCCCTGTTAGGGTTCAAAAACAATTGAAGGTTTTTCACTTAACATGCAAAAGCTTGGGGAAGGGATGACATCAAATGTAAGCAAATGACTCTTGACTCTTTATGTCATACATGAGGTATGTACTAATTGTTAACTTAATGCTAAATTTGCAGCCATCAACCCTTGAAACAGATTCACTTGCAAAAATGGACAAACTGAAATTGCTCAAGCTAGAACATGTGGAACTCAACGGGTCCTACAACAATTTTTCAGAATTAAGATGGTTGTATTGGACTAATTTTCGATTGAAAGAAATACCATCCGGCTTATTTGGGAGCAACTTGGTGGCTATGCATATGAGCTATGGATGGTTGGAAAACTTTGAACCACCCATGGTAGGAATTTGATGTCTTGTTTGTCACTTGACCTTTTAGTTTCCTAACTTTCTGGCAGTTTATGTGTTAACATACGATGAATTAATTAATTCTTATATTCTTGGAATAGGTTCTTAATTCGCTGAAGATCCTAAATCTTAAATGGTCATTCAAACTTGTCAGTGTCCACCATCTTTCCCGACTTCCTAATCTCGAGACTTTGATTCTCTCGTATTGTTTCCGTCTCAGTCTGACTCATGTTTTGGAAACCATCAGAGGTCTTAAGAAGCTTTCTCTATTGGACTTTGGAGGGTGTAATCAATCTTGGAAAGTTGGTCTATGTACTACTGTTGGAGGAATGCCAGAATCGTTGTTAGTCCCCTTTCCAGACTCGTTAAAGCTTCTGTTTCTCTATCGCTGCAGTAATCCGTTAACGCCCCTTACCAATCTTAAAATGCTTCGGGTACTCGATGTGAGTAGTTGTCCAAATATAAAATCCCTCCTTTGTCTCCCAAGTACTCTAGAAGAGTTGTGTACATCTTGGTGTTCTTCACTGAAGAAAATAACATTCGATTCTGCTGGGTTCAGATTGCGGAAATTTGAATATCTCGATTGTGCAAATTTGTGTGAAATTCAAGGCCTTTTCAAATTGGTGCCGTTAGAAAGACTTGATGAAGAAGATTTGGGACATATGAAATGGATCAAAGCATATCAACATCATGGGTTGACCCTCATAGATGATGGTGTCCTTAGATATGGTTGGGATGTACATGGTTGGCACATACAGGTATCTCTCCCGCATGCATGAATAAGCACAAAAAAAACAAATCTTTTTCCACCGAAAAACTAATTTATTTATGAATAATTTGGTATTTCTGCAATGTGTTTGACCAGGTGCTGTATGAATATGGTATAAGGAGCACATATCTTCCAGGCATAAGGATTCAAAGCATGCCAACGCCCAAATATATGTCATCGTCTGCATCCTTATCCTTTCGTGTGCCTTCTTGTCCTGAAAAATTCAAGATCCGAGGGTTAGACGTAACCTCCTCATACAGACGATCAGGCATATCTTTTTCTGCTTCATACAAGGATAAATACACGCAGGCTTTGTTCGCCAAAGTCAGCAATACAAGCAAGGGCCTTACTTGGATGTATAACCCTGTGATCTATGCCGATCCGGAAGATGGAAGAGATAAAAAAGATGCTGTGTGGTTAAGCTATTGGCCCATTGGGAACATATTAGATGCTGGTGATGAAATCAATGTGTCCATCATTGTGGGGGATGGATGGATGGTAAGCAGCTGTGGTGCTAGCCTTGTGTTCATAGATGATGGTGAAGAAGAGCCAAAATACTACAAAGATTACAAGAAAGAGGAAGAAATTATTGGAGGAGATGTATCTGAATTTGAGCTGACTACAGGAGCCTACTATCTTTGTCGTCGCGATTACTTCAAGTCAACCACTCCTGATTGGTTAAATATGTTAGTTGGTGATACCATTCCACGTAAAGGTAAGTCCCACATTGAGCTGATGCTTTTCGTCAAGATTATGCTACAAATACTAATTGATATTTATATCACATTGTCATAGACTTACATGGATGGAGAAAATCTCATCAGAACGACTCTAAAACATCATATATGGAGCCGTTTGCTTACAGAGACGACCCGTATTCCGATTGATTCTAAGTATTGTACTTTTAATCATTCTTTTTGGCATGAAATACCAATATTTGTTTGTAAATTCAAATCAATTTTCTACTTATATCTCTTAACCTACACTAACCTATATATTCATTATATAAATGAATAGGGCTCTCAAATTATACCATGGAAAACCATCCAACATGCTTTTAACTATGCTATTAACTGAAGCAAGAAAGTTGGCAGTCAATATGTTTGGTAGCCAACCAATTCAATTCTTATTTATAGTGTATATTTCAGTTGTCTAGCATGTTTATTGTTTACAATTTAAGAGCATGTTATTAGCCATTGAGTCGTAGTCAACTAAAAGCATTACTTCACTAATTTCTTTACTTAATGAAAAAAGTGTCCTGTGCCTTTGTCAGTCTTTTAACTATTATATCTGAAAATAAACGAAATTGGTATATATCATTACCAATTTGTACCAACCAAACAAGTTGGTATCAAGCATATTTTATATGATGCTGGTAGCAAAAATTTTGTGTCACTAGCTTGTTTTTTCTTTATAATTCCTCATCCTTTAATCTGAGTTGTTGCCTAGCCTTCCCTCATCTATGATTAGAGTGATTGGTAGGCACCGGTTTATGTAACAACTCAAACATTCATCGAAGACCTAGGCAAAGCTTATAAGCTACCTTATTTTCTTTGATAACCATTTTTTCTAAAAGTGGTGTACCTTACTTTTTAATTTTTATTAATTTATTTTGATTTTAGATTGAAGTTATATTGTATTTTTGTTTCCTGATAGGTTGGTTATTAAAAATATGGGAGTAGAGAAAAGATACAAAGGTGAATGACACAAGTGATATTTGAGGAATTAGTGACGGAGAAGGAGAAAAAAGAAGGCATCAGAAGAGAAGAAAACAAGGATAATGATTTAGGAGGCTTATGGACTTTAACTAGGTTTTATGTACAATTACCGGGGAACTTTTTTTTACACGACTTACAAATAATTTTTTAATTTTGTACACCATTTAGCAATTATCTTCTAGTTTAATTCAAAAAATACTATTGAAATTGTTTGTTGTACACATTTACCTTGGTTATCCATGTGGCTGCCAACTTGAATTCAAGATAACATTAGTTTAATTCAAAAGATATCATATAAAGTTTCGTCTGACGTGGCATCCATGTGGCTGCCAACTTGAATTCAAGATAACATTAGTTTAATTCAAAAAATATCATATAAAGTTTTGTTACGTTCTTATGATTGATGAAAAATTAGATTTTGATTATAAAGCCAAACTTCGACAACACAAAGCTCCCTCAAATTAAACATGCATTATTTGTTGTTCGAGCTTGTTCACGATGATTTCCGGCTTGAATTGATAAATGATCAAGTCAGTGACACCTACAACTCTCTTCAAATATGTTTTTTATGCTAAAATGAAAAATGTATTTTTTGAACGTCCTACAGAACTTATTGATAACTATTTAACTTTTTTACTGCATGATGTTTTAGGATTAATTATTATTATTATTATTTTTAATTAGAACAGTTAAAATAAAAAGGGGAAAATGACTCTTGAGGGTAACTAACTGTTGCGTTTGTTTTCGTTTGATCCCTTTCCTTTTTTTTTTTGTACTCAATATACCATCGAACTTGTTGTTTGTGTTCACCATAACCCTTTTGACCGTCTTTTGACTTGTGATAGTCGGTCAAAGGGTTATGGTGAACACAAATAACAAGTTCGACGGTATATTGAGTACAAAAAAAGGAAAGAGACAAAATGAGAACAAACTCAACAGTTGGTTATCATCTCCAAATCGTTCCAAAAACGTTACAACAAAAAAAATAAATCTCTTCATCACCCTTCAAGATGAAACTTAAGATTCAGCAACCCTTTGGCCGAAATACTCCGCATGACTCTCCCCCTCTGCACCACCACATATGGCAGCGGTTTCGCCTGAAAACACACAACCACCACCGCCAAATTATCCATCGCCCCTCTCTTTATCGCCTCCTCTATCATCTCCTTACAACACCACTTCACATCATTATGCTCCTGCAACCGCCGCCTTACAAAATCCACCGCGTTTTGGTTCCTAAACACGTCCCAAATCTCATCACTTCCAGTTATCAAAAACTCCTCTTCTTTCGTTAGGGTTATGAGTTTGACCTTGGGTTCGGATATTCGTTGGCCCATGTGGGTCCCGGTTTCCTTGAGCACTTTCATATGCTAGTTACCGATGGTTCGAGTCACGACTAATTGACCGTTTAAGTAGCCATCTTCAACGAAGCCACCTAGGGATTCGATCCGGACACGTTCTTTTTCCTAGCACAGTCAGTGCTCTTTTGACATCTCAAAAGTTAGTCCGTGTCGGGAGAGGATTGCTCGACAGTCTCCCACGTTTGCAACAAGAAGAGACCTGAGTAAGGATAAAATGGTCATTTAGTCATGTTCAAAAAAGAAACATAGTTTGTGTACATTACATATATCATTTACCAATATTGATGTTTAAAATATATATGAGAAAATTAGAGACGTGTGCGGAAATATGAGAAAATCGGGGGTAAATTTGTAAAAAGTTTAGGATATAACAGAAAAATCCTTATTTCTATTAATTTTTATGTTAAGTCATTCCCTCTATATATAGCTTATCTGAATAATTTTGGCCCCGTTAAAACCATTAAGTAAAAAATAGGGCAAATACGAAAAAAAATCTCAAGTTTTACACACGAATTTGGCGAAAGCCCTAATGTTTTTTTGGTTGGTAAAAAACATAAGTTTTCGGATGACCTTTCATTTTTAAAAATAGAAGGTTTTTGAAATATTATGGTTTTTACCAAAACAAAAAGTTAGGGATTTTGCCAACAAAATCTGTAAAACTAGAGACTCTTTTGAATTCATAAGTTTTCAGAAAACCTTTCATGTTAAAAAAATAGGGTTGACCGGTTGATGACCGCAGTGGCGAATCTAGAACAAAAAACCATGTGGTTCCTAAATTAAATAAAGCCAACAAATAATAAAAGAATCAATAATACATATAACGGGTAGGGTCTGATCGTATACCTTGAAAAATGAACCAACCAGCTCAACCGGTTAAAATCGATCAGGCATCAATTAAAAGAATCTAAAAATAAGTTCTAATTAAATAGGAAAAAGTCGTCCGATGTATTTTATTAGTTCATTTATCAAGTTGCTTATTGTTTGATAAAAAGTATATCTCATGTTTTATAGGATATCAATATATTATGTTTAATTGAATCAAAATCTTATAATTTTTATACATTCACTTTTATGTTACCCAGCATATACGAAAAAAGGTATAATAAAGATTCTATTATTTTAAATTAATTCCCATCTTTAAAAAACAGTGTTTACAATACTAAAATATAAATAAAAGTGACAAACCCTATATATTTTGACAGCACACAATATAAAAGGACAAAAGGTTTCAGGTTTTTACTTTTTTACATACTACATTTGACAAAAGGTTTTAGGCTTTCACTTTTACGGTTCTACATTTGACAATACACTCACCATATCTGTCATAACAACATTTTAGAGACCATACTTTTCACCGTATCACAAATTATAATTAAATGGTAATGAAGCAATACGAGATGAAGATGTAAAAGACAATAATAGATAAAAAGAAAAACCTCAGAGACGAGAGGAGATCCTCCTTGAATCTTAATAAACTTACCCCCGAGGAGAGGCCGGTCATACATAAAGGCACAAAGAGTGGAAGTATTTGGCAGTGTCCAACCTCAATTCTAAAGCGACGAACGAAAACAAGAAGGGCACGGTTAGGGTTTTATTAGTTTTCAACTTTAGTTTTCTTTGATCCATTTTTTCCGGATTTATAAAATTTAAAGATAAATGAGGAGTTATAGCTTGTGGATTTCTTTATATTAGAGTATTTTATTTATTTATTAATATTAATATTTTGAGAGTGAAATTTGTTACCTTTTCGTTTCCGGTACCATAATTTAAAATAGTATATCGCATTTAGTAATTTATTTGTTTCACATCTGAAATGTTTTTTTCAAGATATTTTCTAAAAATTTCAAGGTAGGTCACATTTTCCAAGGTTGTTCCAAATTTTTTTTTTCTATATACATTCTAAATAAAATTGAAATTTTAGGTATGTCATGCGACCTATCTTTAGCTTTACTAACCTCGTCCCTGGATGACCGGATAAAAGATTAGAAATGAAAAGTTTTTTAAAAAGTTATGCATTTTAACAACCAAAAAAAAGTTAGGATTTTTTCCAACTTCGCATGTAAATCTTGCGATTTTTTTAGTAATTTCCCTAAAAAATACATCATCTTATTTACCCGTTGTCATCGTTTCACAGAGCTCAAGATATCAACCTAGGTCAACAAGATTCCTCTATTTCGTCATTATTAAAATATATATTTGAGCCACTTGGTCAAATAGTCAAACTTTCTAGGATAAACTAACAATAAACTACACTCATTTACCATGGAAGCCTTTAGAAGCACAAAAATTCAATCATACAGAATCAAAATATCAAAGAGATTAAAAAAAAAAGAACACAATCAACTAACCTCCAAAAGATCATAGCAATAAGTGTAGTTGTGCCCAAAGAAAGAGCAGATTCAAGAGCACATGACCTAGCAAAAGCAGCATCTGTCTCCATAAATGACCTTGTGACCACTTTGCAACATCCCAAAATTCAAGGCTAAAAATTTCATTTTTAATTAAGTAACATGAAAAATCATTTGTCAAAACATTGCTAATATTATATGAATTCATAAAACCATTACGACGTGTCTCGAAAACATATAATCGGATAATAATAAAATCAGAGTACAATCCCATAGATCTCAAAATGCTAAATCCTGCTGTGCGTGTGATGTGTCACTACCGTGCCGACTCCTTCCCCTTCGATGAAGAGGTACCTGAAACAAAACCAAAAATTGTAAGCACGAAGCTTAGTGAGTTCCCCCCATCATACTACACACATACAATAACATACTGCCAGACAATTTTGGGGCGCCTGACCTACCCAGGTCAAGCCATTCTGGGGTGCTTGACTTACCCGTCGGTCTATTTCACCCGACTACCGGGGACTATTTCACCCCCTACCACTACCATACATAACATATCATGCTAGCACATAAACATATCATGCTAGCACATAAACATATCAGGTAGTAGCAAACCTAGATGAATATCACAAAGACAATCATCTAACATACAACTCCCCTTGGTGGGCCGGCATTGTGGCTGTAGACGCACCGCTATTGGAAGGTAACTCACCTCACTGTCGCGTAGTGTCTGCACTGACCCCGGTGTGGAAATTGACTCTCCCCGACTCCTCAATCCCTACACGGAAACTCTTCTAAGTTATCAACTCATACTTGTAACCCTTACAAGGGTCACTCAATCCCAATCAATGTCAAAGTCAAATCCATGGTCAAAGTCAACTTTTGGTCAAAGTCAACATCTGGTTGACTCGACTCGCCGAGTTGACCCGCCAACTCGTCGAGTCCCCATATCCACAAAATGCCATAACCCAGTCCCTACTCGTCGAGTCTAGCAAGAGCTCGACGAGTTCACAAAATGCCATATCCAACCGACTCGTCGAGTTCGTTCTTGAACTCGCCGAGTTCATCTTCATCCATAAGAAGATGTTTAGTCTATGACTCGCCGAGTTCCCATTGAACTCGCCGAGTCCGTCTTTATAGGTTGGGAGATTGCCTTGGACTCGCCGAGTCTGTTCATACACTCGCCGAGTCCTATGATTTCCAGGTCCAAGACAAACCCCTATCAGGCGAGTGTTCCTTCTACTCAACCAAAACCCTTTCCAGAAGACGTTTTAGGGGAAAAAGCATCCCGACTCGCCAGGTCACCCAAGTGACTCGTCGAGTCCCTCTTTGTCCAAGACTATATAGTCGATTATATTGGGTGTTAATGCATCCAAATCATAGGTCTGACCTCCTAGGGTCCCTTTTATACGTAAAGCTACGAACTTGATGTCCATGCATGGGGTTTTTGGCTCAAAAGGCTATAAAATGGGGTTTATAAGATGCATGGGCTTCCCATGGCCATAAAGTTGGCACCTTTATGCCTTGGGAACCCTCAATGGTTTCAGATCTGAAGCTAACACTACACAATATGAGCCAAACCCAAAGGTGGCTTAGAAATGTCCCAAAAATGGCAAGATCCAAGTCTTAAAAGAGATCTATCACATGATAAGTCAAGGTTCAAGCTTTTTACCTTGGATGAACTAGAAAAGGAGCAAAATCTTTGGATCCACTTGCTTCTTCAAGAACTCCCAAGCTTCCACTTCTTCCTTCAACTTCAAACACACACACAAAAGGCACCAAAAGGCTCAAGAACACACAATAAGGGCTAGGGTTTCGAGCTCGGGTTTTCTGGAAGTGAGAGGGGCGATGGAGGCTGGTTTGGGACGAGTTAAGTTGTTTAAATAGGGTGCAAACCCTAAATATTAGGGTTTTATCCAAATAGCTCCTACTCGTCGAGTCGGTCTTCCAACTCGTCGAGTCTACTCGACGAGTTGGGCCTCCAACTCGTAGAGTCCCAGAGTAAATTGCAACATTTTCTTGAATTTAAATACGTACCAGGAATCGGGTGGTACAAATCTCCCCCACTTATTTTAGACGAAGTCCTCGAAGTCTGCTGCTGAATCTGGAAAAAGCTCAGGGTAGTGCTCCCTCATCTCGTCCTCCGGCTCCCAAGTCCATTCCGAGCCCTTACGTTGCTGCCATTGCACCTTTAACAGCTCAACCCTCTTGTTCCTTAGATCCTTTGACTTCCTGTCGAGGATAGCTACTGGTCGCTCGATGTAATTCAGGCTGTCATCCGCCTGGATATCCTCCAAAGGCACTACTGATGAATCATCCGCCAGGCACTTCCGTAACTGGGAGACGTGAAACATACTATGAATCTGACTGAGTTCGGCTGGCATGTCTAGCCTATACGACACTTTGCCCACCCGGGCGACGACCCTGAAAGGTCCAATATACCTGGGGCCCAACTTGCCCCACTTCCTGAACCGAATGACGCCTTTCCAAGGCGACACTTTCAGGAGGACCATATCCCCGACCTGGAACTCCAGGCCCGAACGGCGCTTGTCGGCATAACTTTTCTACCGACTCTGAGCAGTCTGAAGCCTGCTCCTAACCTGCTGAATCCTCTCTGTCGTCTTGACCACCACTTCGGTGCTCCCCATGACCCTC